CTTCTAGTTAAATCTTAATTATCTATTATCTATTTCCTTTTAATTTCATTTACACAACCCATTTCAAGTCTCATACATGTTTCATACTTTGTACCTAGTACTCCACATTACTCATCTCTACTCTGCAGTTACTTGTCTCCAGACTTCTAATATTTAAGTCTACTTACTTCAGTTTGTAACCTCAGTTCAAATATCAACTTCATCTTCATTCTTAACTTGCCTTGAGTCCACCTCAAGGCAATCCATCTCTCCACTCTGCACCCCACTATCCAACAACTCTGCCCCTAAGTCAGCCTATCTCTGGCAAAGCACTTAACATATGTAGAGTTCATCCAGCTACTTACATCAGTCTATTAATGGGCTTGATTAGGCATGCATTTGCCTTACAGGAAAATAGCTTTTTGCTATTAAAGTATTAACAATTCCTTATTCAGAGATCATATTGAAATTTATATCTTTGTAAACAACCTGTTTATTTGTAAATAATTAGCCTATAGTATACTTGTCACATCCTGGAACTTCATGCTCACCTTCCACTCTTCTGCCCCTCCAATTTTCCTTTCAACTTTCATTCCATTTTACTTCCCATTCATGATCTTCACTCTTCCTTATTTGTATATACATTTCATCACCATAGTTCCCTTACAATTGATTTCTAGTTTACACAGCTTGTCCACATCACCCCTTCCAACTTTCCACTTCTCTCAATTTGTACAGCCAAATTATTAGTTTCTATGATACTATCATCACAGCCTCTATACATCACACTACCATTCTGTCCTCCATCCATCCCTAGTTATCTTCCATAGTATAAATACCTTCTGCTTATAACCTCCAATCCTCAGTTTAAATATTAAAGTTAAATCACTCTACTCTGTTATCTGTCTTGCCCTTGTTATTAGGACTTATGTCTGATAACAACTCTGACTCTCTGATCTACTTCCAACTTCTTGTTCCAATGTCTTGCAAATACTAGGACACAAATAGATTGCAAAGGGCACAGCACATAAGCTGAAGCCAACATCCGTATGATTCAACTTCCACCTCTTTCCATAAACCTTCTGCTACCTTCCAACAATTCCACAATTTGACAATACTGGTGCAATGCACTGTTCATGAGAAGGTAGGGGAGGGTACAGGCTGTTGAGCTGCCCTTTTGCTGCCATTCCGCTGGTTCTGTGTTTTCCAATTCCTGGATTTTCTGAAAAAGTCGCAAACATTCAATACACGATCGTTAATTTATTATATAATCTAGACGAGACCTAGACTGGGGTCATGGCCTGCCTTGACGGAAGCAAATTCGAACATCTACAGCCTGGACCTTTCAAAAGAATTCAAGATATACATTATCATACTCCATTTTAGAGATATTCAACATCAGGTACTCGAAGGGTACAAACATAAGATAGTAGTTTCCAATTCGTAGATATATCAAATTCACAGAGCAAGCAGATGAGAAAAGCAATAAAATAACCTAGTCCAGATATCAGCAATAGGTATAACACACCAGCGAAGATCAGAAAGAAAAGAAAAATCTAATCAGGCATCAACTTATGGTGTCAGTGCTCGTCCCCTCCTCTCAAACTCAACCACAAGATCCACCACCTTATCTCTTGCGTCCTCAAGTGTACCACCACCCATCGCATCCTCAAACACCCGGCTGCCCAACGCACGCCTGAGCTCGAAAACCATACCACCCTCCTCCTTACCCTTGGGGCTCGGAGGCGGGCTTAATAGCGCGGATTCCTCTGGAGCATCGGCAAAGACGCGCTTGTACAGCACCAACGCGGTGAGGAGCGCCCTAACCTCCTCGTCGCATCCTTTGAGAGCAAGGTCTTCAGAAGTCACAGACGAAGGTGTCCTCCACACGCGTTCAAGGATTCGGCCAAGCTCGCTGACGGTGCCCCCGAGCTCTTTAGCAGCATCAATAGTCCTGCGGATCTCATCATCGTTGTTCTTTTCCTCTCCATCTTCTCTAGTAGGGTTCACAGTTTCGATGAAGAGCCCACCCAGGTGTTCCTTCATGCGTTCCCGAACCAAAGAGCACGCAAGGACCTCAAGGGGTGAGTACACACGCTCATCATCGCCCTTGACGTCGACAGATGACGTGGTGAGACGGTCGATGGCACCTGCAACATCAAGTTCCGCAAGGACGAGTTTCTCAGAGATCTTGGCTTTGGAATGCGAGCCTGGCTTCGTGTGTTCGGCATAGGCTCCGGCGGCGTCCCAGATGGAACGCGCTTTAGCACGGGCAATGCCACTGACGACGCCCCCGGCGCCCTGGAGCACCATGGCGAGCGTTGAAAGCTCGTTGATGGTAGCATTGCGGGTTGAGGTGATAGCACGGTAGATTTGGTAGCGGGTATAGATCGACAATTTGCTAGCGTCGCCTAAAATTCACGTAGACAATTCAGTGGGAATTCACGACTGCATCAAAAAAAAATACTAACCATGCAAAACAGTCTCCTCAGCGACCTTCACCCAATCCACCTTCTCATTCTTCTTCTCGCTCGACCTACTCACAGAAGCCGAACGAACCCTCTTCTTCACATCACTCTTATTCCATGTAATGCCAATCCAGCTTGTCAACAGGCTTCCGAGCACCAAGACAGACACGACGATATGGAAAACCTGGATGTATTCGCGCCAACCCCAGCCCACAGAAGGCACAGGCGTAGCAGAGGGGAATTGGGATACGATGTCGGGAGCGTACGCGAGAGGAGGGGTGAGAACCATGCCGGTATGGTGGTGAGCAGCATGAGATGGAGATGAAGAGGAGGTGAATGGGTTGTTGAAGAATGAAAAGAGGGCAAAGACGGCGAGAAGATACTGTTGAGGCTGTGGTTGGTGTTGTTGTTGCTGCTGCATCTGCTGCACCCACGCTTCAGCCGTAATCGGCGGTGGATACATCGCCTGGTCGACTTGCATCTGAATCTGCACAGGCTCCTGTGGTTGCTGCTGCTGGATAACAGGCGTAACAGGCATAGGTGCAGGCACCTTTCTAGGCCTTCCGCGCTTCCTCTTCTCTGGAACCGCACCAGGCTCTCCAGGCTGCGTCGGGGTATGCACAACAGGCTTCTTCTCTTTCTTCTCCTTCTCATCCTTCCTCACGGGAGCGACCTTCCCTCTCTTCCGTTTCCTACCCGCCTCTTCCTCCTCTCCATCCTCCCCATCCTCACTATCCTCATCATCACCTTCCACATCAGGCTCACCCTCCACTTCATCCTTCTCCTCTCCCCCAAACCGCTCATGCCACTCCCTCTCCCACTCCCTCAAAAGCGCAGGCCCCCCAACAAGCCCACTAACAAGCATCTTCAACCCCGACTGCTCTGCCTTGAGCCGAATCTCGCGCTTCTTCAGCACGCGGATATACTCCACCGCCTTCCCCAGCACATTCGCCTTGCTGCACTTCCTGGCAACCTTCACCCCATCGACGAATCCACGCTCGTCAATCACGTCCACCTCCCCATCCTCGGCGTCGACAGTGCCTTTCACGGGCACACCGCCCTTGACGTTCTTCTTGATCTTCTTCCCGCTGCCTTCGCGGTCTTCGAGCACGCGCAGCGCAGGGACGGCCATACGCAGGCTCTGGATGCGTGCGTTGAGGTTCGTGCGGTACCTGCGCTCGATGGTCGTGTGGCTCGTCTTGGGGCGTGGAGCGCTCGCAGAGGAGATGCTAGTGGAGGTGGGTGTGGGAAGAGCAGATGCATCGGAATCGGGGGGTGTGGGAGATTCGATGATGAGTTGCGGCGGAGAGGGTGCAGCTGATGACGGTGGTGGGGGAGTGGAAGGAGGAGGTGTAGATGCTACTGAAGAGGATGCAGATGGGCTTGAGGCCTTAGAGGTGGGTTGGCTGTTGTGGCGAGGAAGACGGGGAATGGGGAGTTTGGCTTGAGGTGCATTTGTGACTGTAAAAAAAATTGCTAGTTAGCATGTGTGAATGTGCATAGGGATATATATCTACTCACTTGGAAGAGCGACTTGCTGATTCGCTCCGTGGCCTTGGAGCTGCGCTCCCATGGGCACAGCAAGCATCACACCTGCTGTTTGACGCACACGTTGCGCGAGCTCCGCAGCTGGGTCGTTCATGTATGATGTAGCGGTGTCTGACGTTACAGACGGCTCATCCTTGGCTTGTTGGGCTACATCGCAGTGATAGCCCGTTGCTGAGCTAGCAGCCGATTCCGGGCAAGGCGAAAAAGACTGTCCAGACGAAGAAGACGACGAGGTTACGCTCAGCCTTCGTTCTTTCGCAGACAGTTGAGGCGAAGCAGATGATATAGATGGTGAAGACGACGAGAATCCGCTTGATGGTGACTGAAAGGTGAACGGAAACTGCGACGACAGCAAATCCTCATAAGAGGGCTGTTCCCCGTAGGAGTACTGTAGCGACGGGTAAGTGAGCTTTGTCGGGTCGAAATGAAGCACGCTCGGCTCGATAGACATGGAAGGATTGTAGTCCATGTCCATAGGCAGAGAAGCGAGGTCGCTAAATTCCATGATGTCGTTGTATGATTTCATGTTCCCGCCCATGATCTGGTCGCTGTCAGGCCACAAAGCAGATAATTGAGACCAGTCGGGTGGGCTGGCTCCTTCGCCAGTCGAGGACGAGTCTTCCATTGAAGAGTCGGCGCTGTTGTTTAGCAACAGGTTGAGTGGGTCGGACGGGTCTAAGCCCAGGTCTGAGGACATGGCTTGCAGCGAATATAGAGTCGAGTACGCTGTCAGAAACGATGAGAGGATATGTTAGACGACGAGGAAATATAAGACGCGGTGCAGAAGAAGAAAAGAAATTGCGCAAATAAACCCTGTCCAAGTAACAAATCGAACGATGGGTAGATCAGACCATTTGAGGTCACGTGTCAAGCACTTTACTCGATCGTGACATGCTAGTTTTGGACATTTTCCAAAAGACCGAGAACGCCGCACATTGTCAAATGCTTTGGAGGTAAACACAGCAAAAAGGGCACAGCCTCCGACACAACATCACTCAACAAAAGTGGTTCAATCCAGGATCGAACTGGAGACCTTCTGTGTAATTACATTTGTAAGACAGAAATCATAACCACTAGACCATTGAACCGATGTACTTTAGTCGCCCTATTGACAATTAGTCTTTGACTTCTCCCGCTTTAAGCTTCTCTCAACCCACGGCCCACTCACGAGGTCCGACTGTGCTTGAGAGTGAAGCTACCAATGAAGGGTATATCGCTAACCACCACACAAATAGGACCGCCTCCAAAATAAGTACTCCTATAGTCCTCGGCGTCTTCGGTGCTTTTATTAGTCTAAGCTTCATTTGCATGCACATGATTGCGCGGACGAAATGATGGCAAAAGGGGATTGGTCACCGCCCTATCCGGTGACATGCGTAAGATGCGTAATTTAGCTATAGTTGCGGCCTTCATCTTGCCTTCTTCTTCGACGGCCATTCGTTCTCCACCACCGCGCTACAGTGCTCCAAGACGCATCAAGGCGTCTGTCAAGGTTATCGAGGCTCGATAACGACAAAAGCGACCTCTACGATTGCCCGGCCACTCTGACGAACACCATGCGTTACGGATTTTCTTCACGGAACATAATCACGGCGACCGCCATCTTCTTCTTGGCTGAAGGAACGATGGCGTCGCAGCGGGTAGAGCTTGTAGCACGACAAGGTATGTAGAACTCGCTATCTTATCCGAAACTACTCACAAAGTCACATAGGAGCGTCCATTTCAATACCTGACTCTTCGACGCCTACCAACTCTGCAGATACCCCCGCCGTCTCACCCTTTCTCATATTCACCTTCCCATCCGATCTCACGACATGCACGTCCACATCTATCGAGTGGGAATACATGGGACCTTCCCAGCCGATGTTGCTCATAGTCAGCAGTCTCAATGTACCGTCCACCAGTACACTATCACGGACATTAACCGACAACGGCCACATCAGTAAACAGGCAGTCCCCACGGGTGCCTCGATTAATACGGGTATCACAATGACGCTCGCTATTGGCCTCGATCCGATTGGCAATACCAGCTTCAATTGGAGCCCAGTGAACTTGCCCCCGGGATCGTACTCCATGCAGGCGAGCATCCCGTCTCTGAATTTTCAAGTCGCCAAGATTTTCTCCGTGAACTCTGAAAGCGACACTTCTTGCCTTTCGACGGCGTCCACCACTGGGCCTCCGAGGAATACAGGAACTAGCATTACTGTGACCTCTTCCACAGCCCCCTCTTCAGATACATCAATTCCCGTTCCTGTATCTCGAGCTTCGTCATCACCCAACACCGGCTTGATAGCAGGTGTCTCTGTAGCTGGTGTCGCCCTCCTCGCAGCAGTCCTTGCCGCATATCTATGCTTGCGTCGAAAAGGCAAATTCGCTGTCACCAAGTCCAGAGGAGGCTGGGGTGGACTTGGATCTACTGATTCAAAAAACCACAAGGTGAAGCGAAACAACAAGAAGTCCCTATATGCTGCAACAGGAGTGAGGAACCAGCGGTACCACTCGCAAGCTGATTCTCTCGGTCCTATTGTGGGCGTAGCAGTATCAGCAGAAGCAGTGGGCTCCATTGGATATGGAGGTAACGAGGAGAAGGTTGGCGCGAGCAGCTCATTTGGACATGGCAACCCATTCGATGACGCTGTTGGTGATGTTCTGCTTGCTGATAGGAACCAATCAATACGAGGATCCCGTCCTGCTGCATCGCGGACGTATTCTTACTCATCTACTGCCTCACTCTCACACACAATGCCCATACCAAACGACTACAGCGGTGTCAGCCGCAGACCCTCCGTACCAGACAGTATGATGGACCCCCACGGCGGACGCAGACTGTCCATCGACTCTACTACCTACCCTCCTTCTCCGAACACTGTGTACCCTGCCGGTGCTGCCCCTCTCTTATCGCCTACATCCTCAGTGGTGGCACAGCCACAGGGGCAGTCCTTCAATCCCCACGCTGCCGCGAGTGATATGCCTACATCACAGTCTGGCGCGACACATGCCACCGCATCGTCATCTATGCAGAGTTTGTCACGGGAGACGATAGCGACTGCTGCTACCCTTGGCTCGAGAAACAAGGCACACGGGAGCTCATCAGGCGCACCATCTCGCAAAACACCGCGGAAACCTGTCCCAGCCTACGCCAGCACCTCCTCCTCCCCGACCGCCTCTCCTTCCACTAACTCCCCCATAACACCTTCCTCGTCCTCCTCCGCTTCCACCCCATACTCGTCCTCCGTGCCATCACACCCCTCTTCCTCCGATCATCATCAATCACATTCGCAACCCCCGACAGGACATTCTGGGCACTACACCACGCGCACGCAGAGCCAGTCTGGGGTCGGACGGCGCTCGGATGAGGGCAGGGAGCTCGTGCACAAGAGCAGCTTCGGTCCCGGTGGTGTCGAGGGCAAGGCGTTGCATTACTTGATTCCGGATATGCCTCTTGATGTCAAGGATTGAACGAGTCGCCAGTTGTTATTGACACGTTTTTCTTGGATTTCTTGTTGTGCACCTATGCATTTTTAGTGAGGGAGAGCGGAAGAGGGATCTGGTATTTCGTTCTGTTCTCTCCTTCTCCTCTCTCTCCTATCTCCTCTTTATACCAGGTTGGAATATCCCATTATCACTTATCGCCTTGCTATCCTCATCCCACATGCTCATCCCTCGTTTTGTGTTGTGTATTTGTGTTTTTTACGTACTAATTACATTACCTTAACCTTATCCGTTAATTTTGCCACTGCGGCTCGCTCTTATTTGGTAAGGCTTCAATGATTCTATTATGATGCAAGGCACTCACAGTTACATGGGGAGATAGGTAAGACACTACAGAGATTTGGATATGATATAGACAGATTACCAAAATACTGCTTGTAGGAAATACCAAGAAAGAGTGCTCAAGATATATACTTTCTTTTGAAGATATTTCTTCATTGATTTCATATGTACAAGTTCACACCATAGCCTGCAATATACCATTGATTTGATGCCCTTTGAGTACCTTAACAAAGTTTTCCATTATCAGCTTCATTTGTGCATTTTTGGAAAATCACACATGTTACAAATATGGTTGTAGTAAATGTAACTTTTTCTGTATTTATCTAATATGCTATGATACAGTAAATTAGAGTTATATCTTTGTATATGAATTTAAATCACAGAGATTCATCAGGAAATAGTGAAGATATGGATGCAACAAGTTGCATGATGCCCAAAAAATTGTCACATGCTTTCCTTTTGCACACCACTGTACATTGACTGAGGTATTGTGATTGGATCTAGATTTCTACACCAATGAAAGGTATATTGCAAGGCACTTCTCTAAAATAAATACTCCTAGAGTCCTCAGTGTCTTCTGTCAAGCAAGCATACTATTACATAGTAGAAGTGCTGATGGCTTACTTTTGAACATAGTGGTTACTTATGTCAGGCACATCAACACAATCTACTAGGAGAGTGCCAAGGTCAATATGCAAACTACAAACTTAGAAGAAAGGAGGGAAGGAGGAGTAGAGCAAATAGCATTGTTGGTAAGAAATGACCAGCTAAAGACTACAGAATAAGAATGTAAACTACTACTATATATACTAGAAGGCCATGCACATAAGGTGCAACTAATGCATGTTCAATAGTGAGGGAAACATGTGTAAGTAATGTATCTACTGTGCATTGTGGCTGCATACTGCAACATGTGTTACAAGCATGTAATTAATAAGAGATCAAAATGAAATAAGTACTACTACTATGTGTTATCCTCATGTATCAACATGAGCTGTCTTGTTTTTCTTTGTCATTGAATTTATAGAAACTGTTCTAATAATTAGAAAAGAAAAGAAAAGAATGTTGAAATGATGATCACATGATTGTCATTTATAGATGTAAGTCATATCCTGACTCATATCATTCTATGATATTCCATACACTTCTCTATGATATCATCTATGATTCATTATGACTCATATGCTACAATATGTACAAACAATATGGTCTGTGCACATATGGTCTGTGTGCACTTTAGCAGTATAAATACTGGTAGTTAGCACCTCAATAATATAAGTCAGATTTACATCTTACTTTGTAGTTAAGTTGCTTACAGCCTCTACTAACCCAATACCCCACAGGTGAGTTTATTAGTTGTCATGTAGCCTATGCCACTGCATGCCTATGCACTTTCAATAAAGAATAATCAAAATAAATGGTTCATGACAACTTAGGAGTGTTAGCAACTAACTAATAGAGCTTGGTAAACTGTTAATATTATAAGGTTTATTCTACAGTCCTTATATACATATTCTAGGAGGTGTGCAGACCATCTGTACCAATAATATCTATGTACAGCCTTTATGATATCATCCTGATATGCTAGAATGTTCTATCAGGATCATGATAGATTCTCTCTTATAACAGAATGATATCCATTTATATTAGAGGCACATAAGCGTCTCAGTCACAAAATAAGATTGACTTCGTAATCTACCTATTAGAGGTGTGAAAAAGTCTACAAGGTAGAGTCAAGACTCAATACTGTAGTAATGAAATAAGTAAAATAAAAGAATGTGTACCTCAGTCACAAAAATAAGATTGACTAAGGCTTTTGTGTTGTGCCCAAAGGCTTTTATACCATGGAAGCAAACGAAGGTTCTAAAGACTAGCAAATAAGAAAATACTTAAGTATCTACGAGCGAGCCACCCGATCGTCCGTAATAGGGACTAAAGCTGTAACACGTGATCAGACGCGTAACCGCATGTAAGTCCCATCGAATAATTTATAAGTTCAACATCTTCAGGGCTTTTCTTAGTCTAAGCATATGCATGATTTCGCGGTCAAATGATGGCGGAAAGGCGATTGATCACTGCCCTATCCGGTGACATGGCGATGTGCGTGATTTGGCTTCAGTTGCGGCCTTTATCTTGCTTTCATCTTCAACAGCTAGCACCAGCTGCCTTCGTTCTTCATCACCGCCCTGCAGTGCTCCAAGACGCACCCGAGGCGTTCTGTCAAGATATCGAGTCTCGATAACGACAAAAGCGACCTCTACGATTGCCCGGCCACTCTGACGAACACCATGCGTTACGGATTTTCTTCACGGAA